TTTCACCTTCAGCCTATGTATGTCTTTTCCTATCAAATGCGTCTCCTGTAGGCAGCATATTGTTGGGTCTTGTTTTGTGATCCATTCTACTAGCCTGTGTCTCTTAATTGGTGAGTTTAAGCCATTAACATTTAGGGTTATTATTGAGATATGGATTGTTCTTCCAGCCATATTTGTTTATTTATGTTACTAAACATGGTTTGTTTTCCTCTTTGATTATTCCCCCCCCCTTTGTGTCCTAACTCCCACTGTTGGTTTTCATTGTTATTTTCCATTTCCTCTTCCTGTAATGTTTTGCTGAGGATGTTTTGAAGAGATGGTTTTCTAGCTGCAAATTCTTTTAACTTTTGTTTATCCTGGAAGGTTTTAATTTCATCTTCCATCCTGAAGCTTAATTTCGCTGGATACACAATTCTTGGTTGGAACCCATTTTCGTTCAGTGTTTGAAATATGTTATTCCAGGATCTTCTAGCTTTCAGAGTCTGTGTTGAAAGATCAGCTGTTATCCTGATTGGCTTACCCCTAAATGTAATCTGCTTCCTTTCTCTTGTAGCTTTTAAAATTCTCTCCTTATTCTGTATGTTGGGCATCTTCATTATAATGTGTCTAGGTGTGGATCTCTTATGATTTTGCACATTCGACGTCCTGTAGGCTTCTAGGATTTGGGATTCTGTCTCATTCTTCAAGTCTGGGAAGTTTTCTCGTATTATTTCATTGAATAGATTGCTCATTCCTTTGGTGTGGACCTCTATACCTTCCTGTATCCCAATGACTCTTAAGTTTGGTCTCTTAATGTTATCCCATATTTCTTGGATGTTCTGCTCATGGTTTCTTAACAGTCTTGCTGAGCTGTCTATGTTCTTTTCAAGTTGAAATACTTTGTCTTCATTGTCTGATGTTCTATCTTCTAAGTGTTCTACTCTGCTGGTAGTATTCTCCATTGAGTTTTTTAAGTTGGTTTATTGCTTCCTGCATTTCTAGGATTTCTGTTTGTTTTTTATAACCTCTATCTCCCTGTATAGTTGATCTTTTGCTTCCTGGATTTGTTTGTGTAATTCATTGTTGAAGTGATCTTTCATTGTCTGATTTTGCTGTCTAATGTCTTCCTTGATACTCCAGATCATCTGAAGCATGTATATCCTGAATTCTTTATCTGACATTCCATCTGCTGCAGCTGTTACCTCTTCTAAAGTTGAGTTGACCTGCATTGCTTGTGGTCCTTTCTTTCCTTGTCTTTTCATACTGCTTGCGTTTCTTTCTACTTGGTGAAACTGTTGTGTTTTTGAAAAATTTTCCCCCTATATATTTATATTGCTCTTGTATAGTTGAAAAGTCTCCCTTGCAGGGTCCGGCGGCGGTCTGCCTACCTTGCAGGCGTGGGCGGCGGCTCTGCTCTGCCCCTCCTCCAATTGGTGTGAGGTGTCTACCACGCCTGCGGACCCCTGTGCCTGTTCTGCCAGTCGGTCGCAGGTCTGCCTACCTTGCAGGCGCGGGCGGAGGCTCTGCTCTGCCCTTACTCCAATTGGGGTGACGTGTCTACCACGCCGGCGGGTCACTGGGCCTGTTCCGGGCACGGGAGGCGGCTCTGCTCTGCCCCTACTCCAATTGGGGTGTCGTGACTACTTCGCCGGCGGGCCGCTGGGCCTGTTCCGGGCGTGGGCGAAGGCTCTACTCTGCCCGTACTCCAATTGGGGTGATGTGTGTACCACGCCGGCCGGCCGCTGGGCCTGATCCGCCAGTCGGTTGCAGGTCTGCCTACCTTGCAGGCACGGGCAGCGGCTCTGCTCTGCCCATCCTCCAATTGGTGTGACCCGTCTACCACACCCGTGGACCGCTGGGCCTGTTCTGCCAGTCGGTCACAGGTCGGCCTACCTTGCGGGCGCGGGTGGCGGCTCTGTTCTGCCCCTACTCCAATTAGGGTGACGTAACTACCATGCCGGCGGTTCGCCGGGCCTGTTCCGGGCGCGGGCGGCGGCTCTGCTCTGCCCCTACTCCAATTGGGGTGACGTGTCTACCACGCCAGCCGGCCGCTGGGCCTATTCCACCGGTCGGTCGCAGGTCTGCCTACTTTGCGGGCACGGGCGGTGGCTCTGCTCTGCCCCTACTCCAAATGGGGTGACATGTGTACCACGGCGGCCGGCCGCTGGGCCTATTTCGCCGGTCAGTCGCAGGTCTGCCTACCTTGCGGGCACGGGTGACGGCTCTGCTCTGCCCCTACTCCAATTGGGGTGTCGTGACTACCACGCCAGCAGGTCGCTGGGCCTGTTCCGGGCACGGGCGGCGGCTCTACTCTGCCCCTACTCCAATTGGGGTGACGTGACTACCGCGCCGGCGGGCCGCTGGGCCTGTTCTGGGCGCAGGCGAAGGCTCTGCTCTGCCCCTACTCCAATTGGGGTGACGTGTATACTACGCCTACAGGCCGCTGGGCCTGATCCGCCGGTCGGTCGCAGGTCTGCCTACCTTGCAGGCACTGGCAGCAGCTCTGCTCTGCCCCTCCTACCACGCCCGCGGACCCCTGGGCCTGTTCTGCTGGTCGGTCGCAGGTGGTGCCTACCTTGCGGGCGCAAGTGGCGGCTCTGCTCTGCCCCTACTCCAATTGGGGTGACGTGACTACTGCGCCGGTGGGCCGCTGGGCCTGTTCCGGGCTCGGGCGGCGGCTCTGTTCTGCCCCTCTGGCTTGATGACAAAGTGAGAGAGACTCGGGTGTTTGTGACTCACTTTCTTTACCAGGAGACCAACTGTTTCTGTCGCCGCTGGTATCGATGAAGTTCTCTCCTCCGCCGCTTTCTGATGACATCAGATCTCTGCCATGTTGGTATCCCATGCGAATGGCAGCATTTCGTTCCCTTTGCCGGGTGACCAAAGCAACGGGTGAGTCCTGACCGGCCCTCACAAGCCCCGTCTCAATCCTGTTGCCACTGCCTATGAATGCTCGGTTGGTATTTACCTCCACGGTATTCAGCAGGACCCAGACCGAGAAGCAGTTTCCGCGGGTTCTTTAGCCCTGGGCCAGAGCAGTTCCGGGAGCCGGAATTCGGCCGCTCCAGGCTCAGTGTATGTTCTGATAGGAGCAGGCTCCAAGAAGCAGTTTCCGCAGGTTCTTTAGTACTGAGCCCGAGTAATGTGTCTGCAAGACGCAAGCGAATGGCAGCTTGAAATTACCTGTTCTATGGCTGAATGAGCTGTGATCAGTCGAAAACAGGGATGGTGACATCAGCTCTCCAAGATGGTGGCCGCTGGCTTCCTCTGTGGTCTGACCGGTGTGGAGAACCGAACTGGACCGCTTCCTTCCCCTGTCTCAAACCCAGAATTCAGCCCTGAGCACGGTGATTGCACAGCTGGCAGGAGCCCGCAGAATCTGCAGCGCTGTATCCCTGCGTAGCTATCTCCTCGTTTCCCAGCGCGCGCCGCAGACTCTAGCCGTGGGGCGATTTGCTGAATAAGCAGCGTGACCCTCCGTGTGGACAAATCTCTCGCGTTTGAGCCCCCGTAGCTGATCCTCGTGCGATGGAAATCCTTCCTCTAGGTTTTGGAACACCCCAATTTTGCTGGAAATTCCTAACAAGATAGCTTTTAGCCGTTCTAACTCGTCATTCTCCCGCACAGTGACGCAGTACACAGGGCTGATGCACTCCCATCGCCGCCATCTTCCCCCCTTCTGCAAAATAGGATCTTATATCCCCAAAGACATACTTCTTTAGATATGATTTTTTAACATCCAACATTTCCAACAGTTTGTAGCAATAATTATTTTGTCTCTAATATTTGCAATAGAAATCACTCTCCTAATACTAAAATAAAATCTGATACAATAAATTTATATTCAAAAAGGATGTAGCTAATCAGTTTATTTGATATTTACTGGCAATTTGAATCATATTAAATTCAATCTTTCATTTATTATAATTACTGAGCAAGTATGTGGCCATCACTGCATGGGGTACTAGAGATAAAAGCCAAAAAGGACCTTGAGGCTATATGTCATACTAATAAATACTGTTAAATTATTTCCAAACCCTGAGGGCAATGTTAGTACAATTATAACATGAAATTATAAGCCGACGAACTTAAAGGGAGCTGTGTATAGAATACTAAGAGTTTCCCTTTTAATTTTATCAGACAAGTTCTTATTCAGTATCATGTGTGGTCATTTATTCCCTCACACTATCTCTGACTATAGACATGAGCTTATTAGCATATTGGGTTTGCCCTATAAGACACAGAACCTTAATTTGAGAATACCGAAGAGTTCTGTAGTGGCAAGAGATGATCAAGAACAACCACAGGGATATGCGTAAGTGGATTAAGACTCAAATTCTTCCACCTATCTACTTTGGTCTAAAACTTACACTGACAATGCAGCAGAAGAATTCCTTTGGGGGTAAAAATAACCTTAAGAATTCATGAAAGAAGAACAAAAGTTCTAAATACCAAGTGATATTTAATATTATTTTCTAGCATAGAGTTAATCCCATAAACGTCAAAGGATATTGCAAATAAATAGTTAACAAGGACTGATTTTTCACAGGAAATGTCCCAGAAGTATTAATTCTGTGAAACTATACCATTTGTAACTATATTTCTCAGCATCCATAGAGAGTCTAATAGATTGCAGGTCTTCTTTTTCAATCTTGCAAATCTGATCAGCTGCCCTTACCTTATCACGGGATGCTAAGACAAGTAAGGCATGCACATACCTATCTACTCTCACTGGTCCCAAAGCTATTTACATGTGAACAAATACTTATTGATTATTCAGGATGAATACACACATATTAGTTCTAAAATACAGTATTCTCTGCTTGAAGGTGTGCTCTAGCATTCACCTCGAGGCTAATGAAGAAGCAATAGTGAATTCTTATCAATTAAATAACTGAACCACCTTATTTTAAATTCCACTTTTTGGTGTTTCACTTAGGTTCCAGGGTACTTAACAGTCATGTTATTCACTCCTAAATGGAGTAAGAACACAAAGAAATATAAATGCTAATTAAGAATACCTTTTTCCCAAAGAGGACGAAAACACTTGTCCAGAGGCTGATTAAGAATCATAAGGCAGAACTTCAAACTTCCTACAGGAAAAAAAAAAAAAAAAAAAGAAGAAGAAGGTAAAATAAGTAAGTGAACTGAATTTTTTGGTTGATTTTTGTTGTTGTTTTGTTTTGGTCTTTTCTGTTTGATTAATTTCCAGACCTCTTATCTGGGTCTGGAAATACACCCCACTAGTGCAGATTTTCAGTGTATACGAAGCTACATTTCAAGCAGAGATAATCCCTCCAAGCCTTCATTTCAAGGGGAATCATAGGCTAAAAAGACCTACTTTACTCAACAAGTCTGTCACATTTCCTGTATTACAGAAGAATTCAGTATAAACATAATTCATCATAAAAAACGATTGGGTAAACTTTCTGTAGTAAGTGAAGAACTCTTGACATGAATTCTCATCCTCATATTCTGTCCACCTCTTTGATAGAATTCCCCTCCCACAGGCTGGTTTATATCATCCTGACATTATGTACCCCAAGGTGGGGGTTATGTGTATTTCCTGTGTGTATTTCCTTTGTTCATGTTCATTCCTAGTCTCCTCTCCCCTCTCTCTGCTTCCTCCATCTCTACCCAACCTTTAACATTCCAATGCAAAACCCTGCATGTGTTTTCACAAAGTCCTAGTAGGTCTTTCTATGATCGTTTTATTTCAGGGTTTTAGATGCCACTCCAAAGACTATGAAAGTAGAGAAAAGTTACTTTTCCAACAATCATCCCATGCCATTTATTATGGACTTCAAACAATGCAAAGCTGTTGAAAATCTATCATTCAGTTCAGTCCAAACACCCTCCATTCCACTTACAGAAAATAAAAATTTTTGTTTGGCGATTCAAAAAATTAATTGTTTTTGTGCCATCTCACTACTAGAAACAAGATAAGAAGATGATATGTCATCATCCACAGCAAACATTATTGAGAGCCAATTACATAATAGGCCCTGGGAATACCAAGAGGAATAAGATTACAGGCTATATGTGTAGTAAGACATAAAGATGATTTATTCAACAATGCAATATAAGTGTATGAGAAGCACCAGATAAACAGATCAATGAGAATGGCAGGAGTTCAAAGGCTAGGGAGTCAGTAAGGTCTGGTGTCATTCTAGGAATCTTTGCAAAGTGTACTTTTTTGAACTTGATCTCACAAAGAAAAAGAAGTTGGGAAGAATAAAGAAAAAGACATTAGAAACAAAGGAAATAGCCCACAGGAAGCTGCTATCCTTAGCCATTAGGGTTACTACTACAGGTTTTATAAACAATGCCCTAATGACATGACTATAGGATATCAATACTAATGTCACAAATTCCTGATGTTTAAGATGACAGGAGCTTAAGTTGAGGCACTCGGGATGTATTTAAGAGTAACACAGGAGCAAGCAGATGAAGCATTTCATGTAGGTTGGGGAAGTATCTTTACAGAAGTAAGAGCAAAAGGATAAGGTAAGACCAGGCAAGCTGCCGCCATACTGCACAGAAAGGTCAAAATAAAGAACAAAGGCAAAATCACTGGGGTTTGCGCACTGTCACGGGGCAGAAGGAAAAGACAGGAAGGTAGAAGAATCTGGAGAGCAAGCCAAGAACGTGCCTTCAAGAACACAGAATGCAGCAGGAAAGTCGAGGGGACCCAACAATGAGAAGAGGACAATAAAAGGGGCAGAAATCTCAAAGAAAAACCTGCAAATCTACAGAGGGAAACTCAAGATCATAGAGACTGCAGAGTTAGTGTACACTCGGGAAATTAAGAAGAAAGCACAGACACCTCTTCCTAAACTAAAAATATAAAAGCATTCCTATATTCTAAATAGGGGGAAGGAAGAGAGACAGGTAATTATCCACTTATTCCTTCAAAGACAAATTTACAGAGCACAAAGCCCTCTTGATCTGAAACCACTCCACAGGGCAGTGCGGAGACATGGAGTCCCCACACCAGGCGTTCATGCTAGGAAAGGGGCTGGGACTGACATACATGTAGACACAGCAGAGAGGCACATGAAGCTCATTAATTTATAAGAAAGTAAACATAAAATAAGAGGGGAAAATATGGAATTAGAGTGGAATGTGGAGTATTTTAAAACAACTACCTGAAAACAAAGTGAAATCAGCCAATCCCAAAAAAACCAAATGCCAATTTTTTTTCTTTGATATAAGGAGGCTGATTCATAGTGGGATAGAAAGAGGGAGCATGGGGAGGAATAGACAAACTCTAGAAAGGGCAGAGGGGTTGGGGGGGAATGAAGGGGGCATGGAGTAATTAATGATGGTGGAATGTGATGATCATTATTATCCAAAGTACAAGTATGAAGACAAGAACTAGTATGAATATATTATGTATATAACCAGAGATATGAAAAATTGTGCTCTACATATGTAGTAAGAATTATAATGTATCCTGCTGTCATATATAAATTTAAAAAAGGAAGAAAATAAAAATTAAAATGGTGAAAAAAAAACAGCTGACAGTTCACAATTTTAAATGTAGCGATCCAATTGGGGTGGGCCAATAAAATCTAATGGCAGTTATAGGCAGTGGATCTGCCTATAATATTAGGAGATTTCGTACCACTTCCGGGGAACGGAAATAGGAGAAGGCATAAGTAAATAAGATGTTGAGGACAGTTGGTTTTTAAAAGTGGCAAAATGACTCTTCAAGAATTAAAGGAACCAAGAAAAAAAAAAAAGAGTTAAGGAAACCTTGGGTGTTTCCTTAGGTAGCTTTAGGAAGCAAGATTGCAGCAGAGATCATTAATGGTCTCATGGTAGGCTTTCATTTTAGTAAAGGAATCCTGCAGGGGGGTTGTTTGTTATTTCTGCTGGGTTTTATGTATTTATTTATTTATTTATTTTACTGAGCATTTTACCTGTACACAAAACTGTCCAGGTAAAACTCCATATCTCAGATACCTTGTCACAGACTAAGTTCTGGTCAAGGAGGTGTACATAGAATCTTCTTGTGCTACGGCTGGTTAGAATCCTTAGAATGGAGGGGGCCTTGACTTCAGCTTCCTCCCTTCTGCATCCTGCCACTGGGAGCAAGAATTCATGTGTCCTCTGAATGAAAGTGCAGCAGCCACCTAGGACCATAAGAAAAAGGGGCCCTGGCTGCTGATGAGTTAGGAATCCTCCACTCCAGTGCTCCGTGGTCTGTCTCCAGGCTTCCTGTTTGGGGGAGGGGGGAACTAAGCCCTTTCCTTAGTTGAACATTAATTCTGAGAAGCTTCTTAATTCCTAGAAGCAACAGGCCCCACTGTGAGTTCAGGAGCCAGGACTGGAAATAGAGCCCTTGCTGCTACTTTACCAGAATTTGTTAAAAGACAGGGAAATTGTTAATTGGTCTCTTTCTCTCCTTCCCTTTCTTTCCTACCTTCCTTCTTTTCTCATCAGTTGTTCCCAAATTATCCAGGGGAGTTTGTGGCACATGAAAATTTCTGGACCTTATCCTAGATCTGTCAAACCGTATCTCCGGGCATGAGGCACAGGGATCTGCATTTTATAACAGTTGCTCTGACACAGAAGGCCCATGAAGGGCACTTTGAGAAATCTTGCCCAGTTATCATCACACCGCTTCCAAAGACCCAGGGGGGGCTTGTTTCCTAGGCTAACATGAGACATCTCAGTAGGCAGCAAGGCAGGTCACTGTGCTAGCCAATTCATTTAAATTTTCAAATAATACATGGCAAAGTCCAAAACAATGCCATAAAAACAACCAAACCAACCAACCAGCAACAACAACAACAACAACAACAAACACTTATCTCTTGTTTAAGTCTGTACTATTTTGGGTTTCAACATTCTACAGAGAAAAATCTAATTTTAATAAAAGTAGTGATCATGGTTCAAGCTGGGTTAAGGTAAACATGACCTAGATAGAAACTGGAGATGACTATAAAGCAGAGCAGGCAGGCATCAAGCCGCGGGAAGGAGAGCATCAACTGGCCCATTCATTCAATCTGGATGGGGCATGAGTCTCAAGCTAAGCACATACCCAGTGCTCAGTAAGATGTTAATAGCAAGAAGTTAATAATGTGTAAAAACCAAAGGTCCTTTTCTGTTGACAATGTCTCCACTGCCAAAGAGGCACTTACCAATACTGTACATAGGTCTCAAAGAACTAATGAAACTATTTCCTTTACTATTTTTTTAATATGTCGACTTGGTATTTCTGTGGCTCCAAGAACAATCTAATGGGAGGGAAACATTACTGCTCACATTATTGCTATTCTAAACCAAGACTTTCATTAAGGTAATACCCATGAAAGCAGCTTCACTTAAAAAAAAAAAAATCAGTAGGAAAACACATGAGTTATGATTTGCTGATGATGTGATTAAAAATAATTGACTATTTCTACCTACGACATGCACGTTAAGCTGTTTCTATATAAGAAGTTCCTTAGGTAATAGGATCTAATAATCTTTCCTGATGTAGTTTGGTTTTCTCATAGGATTTGACGGTCTTTTGCTAACTTAGTTTCCTCTGGAATCATAACTAGATGAGTCATAAGTTGATGAAGGCACCACAGTTCCTAAACAGTGTACAGAAGTTTCAACACAGCCACCCCACAACCCTGGAGGCCACACCACTCTCAAACCTTGGAATTATGGGACAATGCCTCAGATGCCAAACATTCAGCAAGTTTAGGAGTCATTAACCACAGAAGCAAGGAAATTAATAGTCTTATTTCAAGTATTTCTCAAGTTGCAGCATTGATGCTGTTTCTGGAATGTGCAAAAAGATTTTTTTAAAAAGACTGTGAAGAACTTCCTCATTATGTTATAAAGACTGCAGATTTTTTAACCAAGTGTCCTACGGCGATCTCAAAGATAAATGTAGGCGCAGATGGCAGGATTTCAAGTGTAATGGCAACAGAATTTTTTCCTTATCCATGAAAATGTATGATATGCTCCATTTTAAAGAAGAAAGAAAAATGCAGATTAGTCTTAATACTTCAAGTCCTTGAATTGCTTTCTCTAGAGGTTTCAATTACAGGTGATGAATTAAAGTCAAAATGCTCCAAACTGCCTGGAAGTC